AAACAATGTCCAGATTATTCATACAAAAAATATCCTAAAAATTCACATTAATTCATCCATAATTAGAAAAACCATGCAAACTTGTGATCCAACCCCACAATACATTTATAACAAGTATTTCTAGGTTGTTGCCTCTCTCCAATCACCAAAGTTCCGAAACAGTAATTAACTTTAAAAATCAAATTCCCTCTCACTCTTTTTGTTCACTTATGGTTGAATTAAAATTCTAAAATTCAATTCAAGTTCAATCCCAAAAATTCTAAGCCGATTAAATCTCAATATAACTTCCTATAAACTCAATCAAGTTAAGAAATCCTAAATTAAATGGTCAAAATTAAAGGGCCGAGGATATTTGGGTTGCGGGTGATTTCCAAAACCCATTTCTTTTGTTTTAACCCATTCACTTCTTCTTCTTCTTCTTAATTCCATCCATTTTTTTTTCTTGGTTGAGCTAAGGTTAAATATTTTCCTCAAATAAAATATTTATATTATTTGAATATTTATAATATGTCGATTTGTAAAAAATACCTTAAATAATAATTTTTTAATCACAATTAACTATATTGATTTTCTTCATTTTTCTAAAAGCTATGACTTGGAATTAACATGTCATTTGCTTTCCCACCTCCTTTCACTTTGATCTTCCAAATTCTCTTTAACTTTTTACACACCAACAAAAATACTAAATTTCTTTAATTCTTTCATAACTTTCCTATAATATTGTCGTTGCCCCACTCATCCTTGTCCGCCTTAAAATCTCCTTATAATGTTGTAATTAATCTACGGTTGTGTTTGGATTACCCTTTAACTAAGGTTTGGGTCGTCCACAACCTCAGTTGAGGATGAAAAACTCATTACAAGATTTAAAATCCTGTTTCGATAATTTTGTTTTTAAATGAGCATTAAAGCAAAACGAGTGTTGTCATGGAAGCTAGATGAGGGAGCTTTTTGACGCATGTTGGGAAATATCCTCTCGCCTCAACTGATATCACCATCTTCACTTCAACAATATGGCCTACTTCTATTTCCTTTAGTTTTAAATGGATGTTTCCGAATATTCATATTTTTAAACACAGCATAGTGCACTCAATATAATATTATTTGTGAAATATTAAATAGAAAAACAAAATATAATAAAGAGAGAAGGTTAATATTGAAACAAGCAAAAATGATAAAACCTTATTGAAACAAGGTTAGAATGAACTAAGATTTGCAAACTGAGACCCAATTATAAATCATATGAATTGAATATTTTGCAACTTATGAATTTATTTTAGCTTTTTCACATGAATTGAATATTTTGTAACATCTGAATTTATTTTATTTTTTTATAATTGAATATTTGGAATTTTATTATTTAATTCTACCTTTTTAAAAAAATTAAGAGTTTTGGCTTGTCAATGTATATTATATTTGTAATTTACTTTTATAAAAATTGTAATTTTAAGTTTAATATTTATTTTAAAAATATCAAATTAGTCACAAAAATATATATAACAAAACTCATGTTCATTTTTGTCATACATCTCAATTAACTTTTCAATCAAATTACCACAACAAATTTTAATTTGTCTAACTGAGTTCTAAAAACATAAATCACATTATAGTCATAGATTTTTATATTAATTCCTAACATTAGTAGCAAATTTGTTAATCCAAACGCACATTGCAATGTCATCCTTGTCATATCTCATTCCCCAACCTCCACTCCCTTAACAAAAGTTGAGCAATTTGACTCTCTTATTCATCAAGTTTATGTTAATGTCATGTAATGTAGTTTCATTTAACAATCTTCCAATGCAACTTCCTAATCTTGGAGGGATATTCATAAAAATTAAAACCCATACTTTCATAAAAATTTCCCTATCCTGATCAAAACATCAATGACATATATTTTTCCATCCTATTACTGACATTTCCTTCTTAAAAGATTAGCAAATGTGAAATTTCGTAACTTTTCCTCACAATTTGAAATCTTCCATCATATTCACAATTTTCATCTTTCTAAAGCACTTCCAAAAGATTTTATGTTTCACGACAAAAGATTTATATGAGAAGAGAATAATCAATTGAAAGTAATTATATGATTGTAACTTAAACTCAATATCCTTTTCTTTAAAACCCACAAATTCTTCAGTGCAAAACAATTTTTTAAAAAAAATCAAATATATAAATATATCCTCATAATCTAACAGTCTTTGTTATTATTTTATTAATTGTCATTATTTTTTTACTACCAATAATGCTTAACATAACATTTCTTCAATATTCGTTACAAATTCACTTTACAAGCTAACTAAGTTCCTATAATCAATGATAACATGACATCTAAAATCTCTCTCTTTCTTGAAAAAAACTTGACAATATCATTAATTAATTATATATTTTCTCACACAACCTTTTTGTCACGCCCCATTTGGGGTGACCTGTATGAGATATTCATATAAACTTATATTCCTTAAATATTAACTTAAAAAACTCTAATTTCAAAAATTCTACAAATACAATATTTCAATCAAATTATTAAACCTATCAAGAGCCAAGCTCCTTCCAGCCAGCAAATAAATAATCTAGCTACAGAATATGTAGAGCACCTAAAATAACTTTACAAATGACTTGAAAAACTTTTTTTGTAGTAGTGATGTATAAATATTGCTTGAAGATATATATATATATATATATATCTCTCTTCATTGTAGTGTAAAGTTTGGGTTAATAAAATGAAGTAATGAACCTTGACACATGTCTAAAAAGTAAGAATGGTAGATTTCTTTTAGGTTTGATAATGTTTAAGACCAACGATTAGCTATGGTTAAAAATACACACACATTAGTGATTAATTTCAATGTCAATTTCTCCATGAGGAAAGTGGGTTAAGCTATTTTTTTTTCTCTTTTAAATTTTGTCATGTACTTAGAATGGGAAAGTATAACTTCAAATAATTTAAGGAGTTTGGGTTGTTAAATATCTGTTGACAATATATAAAGTAGAGTCATTATAACATTCTGATTTTATAATCATGTAACTAGTTGCTATTAAAGGTGAATTAATAATTAGTGAGTAATTAGAATTTTGAATAACAACTTAATGTTTTGACTCATTGGGATGTTAAATAAGCATGTAGGGGTGAAGTGATCGCATCTCGAAAGAAAGCATGTGAGTGCAATGAGAATTTTTTCATTGTGCCACACACTGTGGCCCAAGCTGCCTGCGCCGCGGCATATTGCCCAAAAAATGACTTGATAAGTTGTGGTCAGCTCATGATTTTGGAAAGAAAGAAGCAAAGAAACACGGGAGTGAGTGGAGAAGAAGGAAAGGCTTAGCAAGGATAAGGATTCTTGGAAGCTTGGAAGGCATTTCTGACCAATAACTTATAAATAAGCTTCGTATAGTGCTTAGCTTTGATTCCATCATAATTTCTCTTAATATGAGTTATAGAGAAATTGAATTGAGGAAATTTAAGAAGTTAGTTTCTTACCCTATAGTAATAAAAAGGTTCTTGAGAGTCAAATTAAGACTTTGTAATTGGTTTGGGATTACGATAAAGCTTTAAAGCTATAAGCTTAATTTAACCCTAAATAGGAGGAGAAAAGGGGTGGAAATGGAGTAAGCTTTAGGGAACTTTCTTTCCCTTTCCATTAGTGCGGTGTCGCACATACTATCACTCTCTTCTTCGTCTCGTCTCTTTGCCAAGTTCCCAAATTCATTTTTGCTGTCTTCAACAATTGACATTCGACCGTCTTTCTCCCTCATCCCCAAATCTTGAGTTGATTAGATCGTTCTCTTCCCCCTCGGGAAATCGACGGCATCTTCTAGCTCTCCAGTGACGTCTTCTGGCTCCCTTGTCCCCAGCAGTCAGCTAGTGCGTGCCTCATTCTTGTTCTTTTCGAGGTAAACTTTCATTATCTATTTCCTTCCTATATTGTTAAATCTCTTTCACATTGCTGCTTTTCCTCTGTAGAGATTTTATTTTTAGGGTTTAATTTGAATTAGGCAATATGAACAGTTACTTTCTGTAGCACACCTGTGCGAACGGAATTTCCTTTAAAGCTACAAAGAGACCTTTATTAACTTCTAATCTAATTTCCATTTGTCAACTCTATTGTGAATTGTTGTTATTCTAAACCATCATTATTTAATACTTCTTCAAAAAGAAGTTACACCCAACACATATAAACAACTATAACACATCTTAAACACTTCGTATTGTTCCTGATTCAGTATTTCCTATCTCTCTTGAACATATCCCAATTCTAATATATAAATTGGGCATTTCAAGGAGATCATAGTCTAATAACCTTGGCACTATTATAACTATCAACTTCCATAATGACTTCATTTCCTTCCAAACATTTTCATTAATTCCATGATACATTCAAGTTGCATCTTTCCGTTTGACTCTGCCAGTAATTCCCACAAACGTTATGGTAATCTTTCTCTGTCTTTTTTTTTTTTTTGTAACATGAAGATTAAGTTTTTCATAATAATTGTCATTTTTTTATATTTTCTAGCCGCCTAAGAAATTTTTGACTGCACCTCTTGCCAATCCAATTTTGATCATGAGTAAATTGGTGGCATTTCAGTGCTGCATATGTGCTTCAATCATTAATTTGCTTATTATATGATCAATTTTTGGTGAGAAGAAGGTAAGAGAGTGAATCAAACTTTAAAATTGTCGTCCTTTAAAGGTGTTATTGCCATGTTCTTGTACAGTATTGCTGCTAATGTTATGTCTGTCACTAACTTTTGTTTCTATTGAGAAGAATTATGAATGGGTACGATTTGGTTATGATGCAGTTAATAATAATCATATTCCTTTCTACTGAATTCACTGTAACATAAATTTTCTTGGGAATTAATTGGAATTCTGTTCATCTTTTAAGAAGCTCTCTCTTCAATGATGTATGGACTTTAGTTGCTCTTTATATCGATAATAATCTGAATTTTGAAAGAAGTAACTTCACTTTTTTTCTGTCATATGTATTTTGGAAAAAAGTATTATGGATCACCATGTTCTGCTAACACTGGTAGCTATGGTTTACCGTTGGACTCAAGACAATGGCGGTCAAAATAACTGTTTTTTGTACTGTGGAAATTGATCAAGGTTGTTTTAAAAAAAATATTATTGAGAGTATAATTATATAGAGTCAGAAAAATGAACTATGTGGCATTTACCTTTTGGTGCTAATAATAAATTTATTTCACTCTTCCTTTTTTAGGATAACTGAAATATGCTCTTAATAGTATTCAGTTGTTGGTTTGAATTAATGGTATCTACTCTGTAATTTTTAGAGGAACAGAAGCTGTGGTGAAGAAGATGCAGAACAGTGACACATAGGGTTACTACAACAACTTAGCATCTGTGATTCTGTATCTGACAAGGAATTCTAGGATCGGTTTCTCGAGCTCAGTTCGCTTGGAGATGATCATGTTATATGTGTCATAGAGGATGAACTTCGTGGGAGGATTATTGCAACAGGGAGTGTATTCATTGAAAAGAAATTCCTAGGAAATTGTGGCAAGGTTGGTCATATTGAAGATGTTGTTGTTGATTATACTGCACGAGGGAAGCAACTGGGAAAGAAAGTGATCAAGTTCCTTACTGATCATGCTCGTTCAATGGGTTGCTATAAGGTAGTGCTTGATTGCAACCTGGAGAACAAAGTGTTCGACGAGAAGTGTGGCTTCAATCAGAAAGAAGTTCAGATGGCCATGCATTTTGTTTGATGACTGACTAATAGTGCAGGTTTGGTTTTCTGATAGTCAAAAGTTACTCGGTTAAAAATTAGTTTGAGAAAAATTAGTTTAATAAAAGTCATTTGTTGTAATAAATTTGTATTTGAATATATTTTTTGAAAAATTAGTTTACTAAATTAAAAGTTATTTAAATTATAATAATAAAATATATTTTTGAATGTACACTTATGAAAAAATACATTAATGTATGATTATTTGTAATTTTTATTATACAAATGTAATATATTTAAAATATTTAAAAAATATGATAAAAATTTGAAATAGCAAGAAATTTGATAGGCTAAATAATAAAAATAAAATAGAAAGTTTGATATATTAAAAAAATATGTATATTAATATTAAAAATATACATGATTCAAAAAATATATATTATTATTATTTAAATAATGATTATATTTTTAATGAATTAATAATATTTTTTAAATAAAAGAATAATAGATTAAACTTAAAGTAACACAGTCAAATAACAACCCATTTTTTGAATTCACTTTTCAAATGATTTATCTTCTTACATTCACTAAATCTACTATCAATAATATTCTCAAAGAACTTTTAAGTTGCACTTTCATTTTCTTATTTTTTTTTTCAAATAACGTCCCGCATCTCCATAATTTTAGGATGCACTTTCATTTTCATACTTTTAGGGTAGCACAGTGCTTTGCCAAATTTAGTTTGTGTGCTTTTGGATGTATCATGATTTGAATTTAAATTTAGTTTTGAATCAAATCCTCTATTTGGAATATTGCATATATAAAAATATGTGAATTTTGATTTGATCCAAATTCATGGGTCATTATGATTATTTTTAAATTTTAAATTCCCTGTAAACCTTTATTTAAAATTCCACTTACTCTACTCTTTTCTTTTCTTTTTTTTTTTTGTTTTAACTATCGGTGATATTGACACTATTGCTTTCACTATTGAAGAAAAGAGGTAAGCTTATTACTTTTAATCTTTCATTTTCAAATATCAGCTCTTCTCTTTTATTTTTATAATTTTTTACACTATCCACATAAAATTTTTTACACATAAATTTTAAAAAAAAATAATCATTTGGTTCTTGTAGTTTTAACTTAGTTGTAACTCAAGTCCTAAACTTTGACTTATTATAACTCAATCCCTGAAATTTTGACTTGATTGTAAATCAATTATTGAACTTTGCCTTTTATAATTTAATCCATATAATTTTAACCTTTTAAATAGTAGTCCCTATATTTTAAAAAATAAAATTATAAAGATTAAAAATATTTTAAACTTTTAATATTTATAAAGATTAAAAGGGTTTAGCAACTTAAGATATTAGTAATAAATTTTAAAATATTTTTAATCTTTATAATTTTATTTTTTAAATATAAGGATCAACATTTAAGAGGCTAAAACCTCAAAGATTAAATTGCAAGAAGCAAAATTTAGGAATTGGGTTATAACGAGTCAAACTTCAAAAACTGAGTTACAATTAAATCAAAACTATAAAGACCAAATGATTAATTTTTCTTAAATTTTGTATGTGAGATTTTAAATATAAAATTTAAATTTAAATTCATCAATTCAAATGCTATCTTATATTGATTTATGTCATAGGCATACAGATGAGTATCTTTATAAATGGTCATTGACACAATTTGTTTTCTTGTTTTTCAAGTTCTATTAAATGAACAAGACCATTGTCTCAGGCTTTCTCCTAGTGAGGACAAGCTTAGAAAATATCTTTACTCTTTTTTTTTTGGGAATTAAGGACCATTTTTGCCCTTCAACTTTACTCAAAGGGCTACTAGGAACTCTAACATCAATTATAAGGCAATTATATCCTTAAATATTAAAGATTCCTTTATTTATTACCCTAACATTAAAACCACTTAAAATTCATTATCATTATTGGGTCTCACTATTTTTTAACATTTTTTATTAAGGGTTATTTTTGCCCATCAATTTTTAATCAAAAGGTCAATAGGCACCCTCAGCTCAAATATTTAATAATAGAAAATTTTAAAAAATGTAATATGAAGTCTAATAATGATCAAATAATGATGAAAAACATGACAATAAGGGAGGAAATATTTAAAGTTGAGGGATAGAATTAATTCATGGTTGATTTTAGGGTTCCTAGTAACCTTTTAGGTAAAGTTGCAGGAAAAAATGGCTCTTAACTTCTTTTTTTTTTTGGTTAAAGGCATAAGGCAATAATCACAATCAAAGTCATGTATTCTTTATAAATTTGTCAAGTTCTATTATAACTTTATTTTATTTTCTTTCTTGTGCGGTTTTTCATGTAACATTTAATTTAATCTTAGAAAAATGTACATAAAAAGGCTATGTTAATAACAATACATCTTCCTTTTTCTTTTTCTTTTTCTTTTTTTTAATAATAAAAGTTTAAATGAGTTGGGTCTCAAGAGCTCACCAAGAGCTAAGTATGTAGAGTCAGAAATAAGGACCAGGTTTGAAAGCTCTGTTTAGACAAGGGTTTGTACTTGAAAAATTGGAATTTTTTGGGGAAATCGAGCTTTTGAGCTCAACCCTTTTAGGCCCTAAAAAAAGCTCAAACCAAAGCCACCCTCCAAGCCTGGTTCCTCTTTTTTTTTCACATTCTTATTCAAAATGCTGCGTTTAAATCTCCTTAAAAAACCCTGAGCTTATGCAAACTTGGCCCCCTTCCTTACTTAATTCGTTCAATTGCAATCTCTCACCTCTCCCTTACCCTTAGTCCCTCTTCTCTCTCAACTCTCATCTCCCATGATTTCTTGTCTTGCCGTGGTGCTTATTAGGACATGGCTGTGCAGACTCTCAGCCTCTCCCTCCTCTTGATCTTAATGACGACAAGTCACGGTGGTCTCACCTCTTGATCTCACTAGTATCAAGGTGATCTCCTCCCTCCTTGAGATCTTGATAACAGCAAAAGTGGCGGTGCCTCTGATTCTCAACTTCTCAACTTCTCTCGTCACTCTCTTCTTGGCTTCAACATTTAGCTGCCTTTGACTGTCTGATTCTACCCTATTGCTTTAAGTCCTAGTTTTATGAGTCTCTAATTGTCCTAGTTTTTAGTCCTTCAATCTTGCATTCTTGTGATTTTATTTTTGATCTCGTGTCCTGGTTTCTAGTCCTTTGACTTTGCTATGTTTCCTATCCTGATCCTTCAGGCTTTGATTTTTTATTTTTATTTTGTTGTGATTCTTATAATTTTATTTTAAATTATTTTTAGTCCTTTAAATGTCTTGGTTGTTATTGTTATTTTATTTCTATGAATTTTAATTTTTTTTAAAAAGGGCTTATGGGCCTGTTCTTGAGCCTTTTGGATAAGGGATGAGCCTCAAATTTAGGGCAATCGAATTTATGGGCTTCAGCCCTTAAAGGCCAAACCCTCTCATTTCCTAGCTCTACAAGTATGCCTTTAACCTCAAAGGTTCTATAGAAATATTTATAGATTACTATCGCACCCGGAAAATGTGATGCGGACAGCACGAGAGCGGAGGTTTTGGCCTTCGAAAGGAAGACCGAAGAAATGGGAGTCGCCATTAAAATTTGAGAAAAATCTTGAGAAACTATTTAAAGGAGGATAAAGGTGGTCTGCAAAAATAGAAAATAGGTTCAAGAGTCGATTGAGTGTGGGGAATGTGTTAGACACCCTACAACACTAGTTCTTAAGAACGGTTACCGGAAGTTTGCTGTGCTATATAAATATGGTTTTAAAATTATTTTAATTATCCTTTTTATATTCATGTATTTGATATAAAAATGATAAGAATTAAGTGAGAAATATTGATCAAAGTCTACGTAGTTCGGGCTTATAAGTTTGCTAGTGAAAATATTTTTTTAAAGAGAAATTAATCAGAAATAATTCACCATTTTGTAAACAAAACAATTTTCTGAAATTTTGATATGTGTGTTTTAAATTGCAAAAAGTGATTTAATTTCAATTATTTTCTCAATTTTTTGAATTTTTGGAATAAGAAAAAGGTAAAGGGTTTAAAAATTATTTTTATTTTTATTTTTTATATTTTATGATCAAGAATTTAACTGTTATACCTGTAGAGCCTTATTGGCTCATACGGTAATATAATTATTCTTTATATCTATGGAGAATCCAAACTCTCGCATGATAAAAGAGTTTAACAATTTAGTTTATTTACTTAAGTTTTTTTAATTATTATTTTTTTAGTGCATTTATATATACTTCTCTTTTTTTAAAAGACTCTTAATCATTATACCTGTAAAGCCTTATTAACTTTTATGGTAATACTATTATCCTAAATATCTGTGGAGATTCAAAATCCTCACACTATAAAGGATTAAATATTATATATTTTTTTAAAATATTTTAATATGTAATTATATAATTTTCATTTTACAATATAAAAATCTTAATTGCTATACCTATGAAGTCTTATTGACTTTTATAGGAAGATGATTATTCTAGAGGTCTATGAATATTCAAAAATCTCACATGACTAAAAGATTTAATGCATTAATTTAATTAATTAACTTTATTATAAAAACATTTAAAATTTTATTTACAAAATTTATTTATTTATTTTATAAGTTAATGACCACGACATTTGCGAGGACTTATTATTCTTCACAATGAGGCGATTAAGTTGAATATCTATGGAGATTTTTTAAATCTCTCACAATACCATTCAAATGTTTTAATTGATTATATTTGTGAAATAATAAGAACAAACTCCTTCATTTAATTACACATTTAAAATCTCCATATGAAAATGATATCATGTAAAATCTAAATTATCTTCAAGAGTTAATTAATTATTATTAAATGGAAATAAAACACAAAATACTGTATGACATTGAGAAATAAAGAAATAGAAATCAAATTGAGGTTGATTAACACTCTTTCATGCTAGAAGACAAACTTGAATCTAACTTATTACTTAGCTTAGCAATAAAAATTTTTGTTCAAAATATTAGAATCAAAAGCATCATGCAAAAAATCAACCTCATTTGTAAAAGTAAAT